CAGAAAAGGGAGATTGTCCCCACCAAGTTTCGAATGGAATTCGGGTGAAGCTGGCCGACTGTCACGCCGAAGTGGTTCAAAACTTCGACAAAGAGGGGGTGGAAAGGCAATCGCAGCCCCGCGGYGAGCTGCTCCYGGAATATCAYGATCTCATYAGGACCGTGTTCCCAAGGAAAGCCACCCGAAGGTATGAAATAAGCATACTCCCCGGGCAASTTATAGTAAGTAATGAGGGATTGGAGCCCCTCGGGCGTCATGGTCGAAGGGCTGAACTTGTCTAACATCCGACCCCGGTGAGAGGTGGACGCCAAACTACCCGAAGCGCCACGGCCTACGGGCTCGAACTCTTCCTCGAGCTCTACCTCCGGCACGCTAGGGCTATCGGGGGATGCAACTTGGTTCGTAGAACCTACATCAGACCCGCTGAAAGGACTATCTGAGCCATCCGAGCTAGACATTGGGAGTGATAAGATCCAGGAAAGTACTCACCCGGACAAAAGCTGTAGACCACAGGAGCTCGGACGAACGGAAGACCTTGAGCACGAACTGAAAATACCTGGACGCGAACTGGATGCGAGCTGAAACTTAGACGCGAGCTTGAGAGAAATACAAAAGTGACAACAACTGGGGTCCCCCCCCCGCTATTTATGCTCACAGTGACCGAAAGGCAACGACTTAGATCAAAACCAATCCGACGGCCTACGACCGCACTGACCGCACGTCCCCCGAGACCGAGACGTGATTGGTGCACGTCTTCCTGAAACTGACAGCGCCGGCGCACATCTTTCCGAAACTGACGGAACGCCAGCGCACGTCTCCTCAGGAAAAACGGCAGCGGCACGTCTTTTTCAAATTTGAAAAAACGCCCGCTATCGCGCCCCCAAGTGGCGCGCTTTTTTTGAAATTTTGAAACAACACGCGCGCCGCCACATCTATCAGCATTTAGACAAACCAACACGCTTTCCGCATAAATGGACGCTCGAAGAAGCCCAAGAAACCCTGACAAACACACCTCGTGCCGGCAGAACCAAGATTCAAAGTGCAGGACAAATCTACCTGACACCTTGCGAACTCCCCGCGCTAGGGCGACCCTTAGCACGAGGAGTGGGGGGCAATTGATGAAGGAAGATTTGGCCCGACCTTGCAAATCACGGCACGTGGCAAAAAAGCAAGTAGCTTGGCACTTAAAACAGCGTACCGAGGGTACAAACGCCAAAGGGAAGAGACCAGCGGTCCGAACTCCCTAGCAAGATGCCCGAACTCCCCACTTAGAGCTCGAACTCCCTACGTGGAGCCCGAACCCCCCCTTTGGCCCCGAGTCACACAAAAGCAGAGACCCGAACTGGCCCGTCTTATGACAGTTCAGGACCCCCCTTATCCGAACTCAAGACTTCACCTCACGCGCCGCCCCAGGTACTTCGCTTCCGGAGCATTGAACTGGACGAACCACGCCGTACCTGACACCGAAGGAGTTCGTATCCAAGGGCGGCGTACCCGACTGACTTGGGATCTGACGCTTGACGGTCGCATTTCAAACGACCACCTATCACCGTCACCTGTCACCGCTATCTCCAGTTACAGAGATGACTCCGACAAAAGGAGCAGTGACAGTTCTGCCCCAACAGAGGTGATGACGCCCGAACTGGCAGAAGTACGGAAATACTCATTCTCGACCTGACATAAGTCTAGGAGTGAGTGCGCGAGGTGGTTATAAAAGGCTCTCCACCCCCAAAGAGGAGGTATGCAAACTTTGCACTATATGGTTTATCTTGCCTTTGAAGGAATCTAACTTAAGCTTCGGAGCCTTTACACCGGGTTCTCCCCAGAGCTTCCTTATCTTCTCCGTTTCAGGTTCCCCGCTACTCAATTCAAAGGCAAGGTCGTTGACAGCGATCGGCCGGATTGCGCTTCATAAAAAATGATATCCAATTTTCTAAACTTGAATTCCAATTCATTCCCATTAAGGGTTGGTTAATAGGAATCACCCCTTTTGGATTTGGTAAAATTTGATTCGATTTAAATATGTTGTTTTTTATTCATTTTATTCATGAAATACAATACCAAAGCCATTTTTAATCCATTTTATTAATAATACATGATATTTTGATTATTTCTAATTTAATTTATTAATCCTATTTAATATCCCATAATCCGAATTCAGTGTAAATCCGGTGTACATGATCCGATTCGGATTCGAATATAAATAAATAAATCACATTACATTCTACCTCAGTATCTATATCCGATCCGATTCCACCCGTTTACAGCCGTAGGATCCAAAACCACTGAATTCGGATGGAGCCGCGGTATACTGTTACACTTGTGAACTGTAAATCTGTAATCACGTTAAATCAACGGTAGGGCTACGGAGCCGTATGGCTACGTGACTGTAAAAACAAAACGACAAAACACCTCAACATTTTTTGTCGTTTAGGGATCGTTTGGCTCGATTCCTTGCTGGAAGGAGAAGAAGACAAGTAGTTCGTGAAGGGTAGATGGTGACTGAGAGGAAGCCCTAGGAATCTAGGAAGCGATATTGAGCTCAGAAGAAACCCTAGGAAGCTTGATTCAAAGTGACGGAAAAAAAACCCTAAAATCTTTCAGCTGGATTCTTCCATTTCAAGGAAAAGAATCCTGGAATTCCAAGTCTGCCATAGTTTTGATTTCGTAGCAATCCTTATAACTTCTGGGAGATATGCCAGTTGATTTGGAGGACTCATCCACCATTAATGCTTCCCAGGCTTCAGGCGAGGCCGAAATTGCCACTGTCTCTTCTTCTGGTAACGAGAAAGCTCCACCATCGTCAGCTTCAGGAAAAGAAGAAGCTCATTTGTCGTCTTCAGGTAACCAGGTAACTCCAGCATCGCCGAATAGAGGGGAAGGTGAAGCTGACCAAGCAGCTTCATCGGCGCCGACTTCGGGAGAAGAAGCTATTGTATCTTCTTCTGTTAACCAAACAGAAGCAGCTCCGCCGTTGGCGATTTCTGGAAAAGTTACTGCGTCTTCTGCCACTGACCAAACGGTTCCACTGTTGGCTTCAGGGGGAGCTACTGCCTCTTCATCTGCTAGTCAACCGATTCCGCTTTCATCACTTCCAAGAGGAGCCCTTGTGTTCTCTGCTATTCCAACACCTCCACAGTCATCGGCGACGCCGACGAAGAGAAAGCGAAGTCTCCCGGGAACGCCAGGTAAGATTTAAAGCTAATCCACAAAAAAACAAAAAAAAAGATACGAGGTTTTGTATTTTTGATTTTTAGTTTTATTTTTTCATTTCCGGTTGCAGATCCGGATGCGGAGGTAATCGCGTTGTCGCCGGAATCCCTAACGGCGACGGACCGATTCGTGTGCGAGATCTGTGAAAGGGGATTTCCACGCGAGCAGAACCTGCAACTTCACCGCCGTGGCCATAACCTTCCTTGGAAACTTGGAGGGGGACCGGCCAAGGAGGTTCGAAAGCGAGTCTATGTGTGCCCCGTGCCCACTTGTGTCCATCACGACCCATCAAGAGCTTTGGGTGATCTCACGGGGATAAAGAAGCATTTCTTTAGGAAACATGGGGAGAAGAAATATAAATGCGATAAGTGTTCGAAGAAATATGCAGTGCGAACCGATTGGAAGGCGCATAGAAGGATTTGTGGAACGAAATGATACAGGTGCAATTACAGAACTTTGTTTTCTGGATTACTTATATTCTACTTTTGCCCTGGTTCTTATCTGTTTCTCTATTCTTGTTTTTTAAAGCGGGACTTTTTTTCTGTACGGATGATACTAGTGTCGTCTTGTGTATTTGTTCTTGAATAAGGGGAAACTTCATAAATTGTCGTCTCAAAATCAACAAATCTAAGAATAAATTGCATGAGAAATTTAGCTTTATGACCTTTTCTTCAGAGATTCAATGAATTGTTCTTTTGGGGTGCCATTTTGAAAGTGTGCTTGTAGAATTGAGGAAAATTGTAGTTTGATATTACCCTGATTTAAAACAGAAAACTGAGTGAGGCTTTTTTGGGCACCTTCTGTATATGGATTCCTTTAGATTTTTTTTTTTGATAATTGGTATGGGTTCCTTTAGATTTCTTCTCTACTTCCAAAAAATGTGGAAATCTGTGGGACAAGTATGTGGGACAGATGCAGGAAAGGCTTTTTTAAGAGAGGCATTTCATAACAAAATTTTAGTTGCAAACAAGTATGTGGGACAGATGCAGG